GAGAGAGAGAGAGAGAGAGAGAGAGAGAGAGAGAGAGAGAGAGAGAGAGAGAGAGAGAGAGAGAGAGAGAGAGAGAGTCCTTCGGGATCAGAATTTTACCTCTCCCCCCCTTGAGCACGCTGGCCCAGCTATCTTCTCTTCCTCTCCCTCCCTCTGATCGTTCTGCCCCACGGATCTCCCGGCTATGATCGACCTTCAACCACCCTCCACATACTGCCCTTCAGCCAGACCGCCAGATGACACCCAAACATTTCATTATGTTGCGCATGGCATCACACAGCCCACACAGAAGTCAGAGAGACACAGCACGGCCTGCACCCAATCCCACCTATCCCCAATCGCTTCGCAGCCTGAATGCTGTTCCTCTTTTTCTTTTTCTTTCTTGAATGCTGTTTTTCTTCTTCTTCTTTTCGCGTTGTTTGGCGAAGTTCTGCGCTGACCTTCGATAGCCGGGCCTTATTTCGAATCTTCAAGGACCCGGTCAGTTCATTGATGGTACCTCCATCAGCATGTCGCATCTTTGCCCTACTTTGTGCTTCTTCTTTTTCTTCCGCCCTCTGTGGTCCACTTCCTTTTTTTTTTCTTTTTTTTTTCCCAACAAACAGGTCCTTATGAGCCTGGCTCCTTTTCCATTCTGGGGAGCTGTGGTCCACTTCCTACCATGTACGGATTTCGATTCCGCACCCGAGCGTAGCTGCGACGGCCCTTTAGAAAAGGAAGACCCTATTGAGCCACCATTTATCGGATCGGTCCCTGGTATTCAGCAGTAAATCGATTTCATTCATCTGGTTCCTTCTGGATTCAACTCAGGTCTGCATTTCGACAGTTATGGGTGTACCAGCACAGCTAGGGTCCCTCTGTTTTTTTATTTCAAAGACTCGCTGATGTTGGTTGTACTTCATTTTCTCATGTTCCATCTGGGCGCTTGTGCGTGCAGGATGCTCCGATATCATACTGGAAGTACTTGCGCATTCTTGCTCTTCTGATCGTGCTGGTTTTCGTAGAACGGAAAGTGCGCAAGAAGTTTTTCTCCAAGTCAAAACACAAGAGGTTCTAAGTTTTAACAAATTTTAACGGAATTGTGATCTGTGAGGAAAATGCGTTTGCGGAGTTACTGCGGGAAAAAAATGATGTGGCTTACGTGAGGGGAGATGAGGGATAGTCGTTGGAAGCTCAGGGGCAGGAAGTCCTGGTCTAGGGAGAAGTAGACAGGAAGCTGCAGGGTGCTTGTTATGGTCGGAGGCGCTTGAGAAAACAGACAGCCGAGAGCCGGTGGTGTCTGTTCATGCCATAATGTTTGTTTTGCTCCGGTGGTGCGTGGCTTGAGAAGTTGAAAAAAAAAGGGCATAATGTGCCTTGAGAAGTGGTACAGGATGTTCTCCAGGAATATTTCCTGTGCACCTTGTGTCTTCGAGAAGTGGTGCAGGATTGGTTCCAGGGAACACTTGTTGCACCATGTGCCTTGAGAACTGGCAAAGGAAGGGCCGCGAAGGAGGGTTCTCTGTGCACCATGTGCCTTGAGGAGTGGTGTGGGAATGCAAACTCGCTTCAGAAGTGGTACGGGATTGGTTCCAAGGATTGGCTTTGAGAACTGGCAAAAGACGGAAGACGGCATGCCGAGGAGGGTTCTCTGTGCACCATTCGCCTGGAGAAGTGGTGGTACAGGATTGGTTCCAGGAATGGTGCAGGATTGGATCCACCGAATCGATGCACCGCCTGCACCATGCGCCTTGAGATGTGGTGGTACAGGATTGGATCCACGGAACCGATGCACCGCCGTTGGGTTCGAGAAGTGGCAGAGAAAAGTTTCTAGCTTTCAGAGAATACTACTTCTGGACCACACAGTGATAGAAAAGTGCTATAGCATTGGTTCCTAGGAATACTCCCTGTGCGCCATATAGCTTGAAATGTGGTATAGGATTGGTTCCAAGGAATTCTTTCTGTGAACCAGGTGGTTTGAGAAGCGGTGCACGAGTGGTTCCAAGAAATATGACTCCCTTGGAGGGAGTGCAGCAGTGCTGGGACAGTTGTCATTTCCTGAAAAAAGGACCGACGGACTAAATTAACACTTAGGAGATTTGACCACGGAAGAGGTGGGGCACAGCTTATCTCCACTAATAGGGAGAGAGAGAGAGAGAGAGAGAGAGAGGGATTGTGTTACATCCATCCAGAATAATTGTGCAAAGAGTTGTATTCAGTTTGTGCCCAATGGGAAGTACCTCCTTTTTGGGGGAGTGCCATCGGAGGGAGGGACTCTGCTGCAGGGAAAATTTTGCAAAGAAGTGCATCGAATTTTTTTCTCGCTCTGATCAGCAATGGTATGCATCTTCTATGCATCTTCTTCTTTTTCGGGAGTGGCTTGCCTGTTCACGATTTTCAAGAAAGAAAATAAAAGAAAAAAGGTTGGAATCAAGAAGATAATTCCATCGGGGGGAGGGACTCTGCTGCAGGGAAAATTTTGCAAAGAAGTGCACTGAATTATTTTTGGGAGTGGCTTGCCTGTTCATGATTTCCGAAAAAAAAAAAAAAGCAAAAAACTTCAAAAAAGGTTGGAATCAAGAAGATGATTCAGATAGCAAATTGGATAAAAAGAAAAGCAAAAACAAAACACAACAATGAATGGATGAGGTTGAAACTTCGGAATCCATAAAAAAGATGGAATTGGAAGGGTTTGGGAGGTTTTGATATGGGGTTTGGGAGTTTGATCTGGGCTTTGGAGTTCGAGACTGTTTTTGTGGTAGTTATATACTGTCTAGCACACCGAATGACGCAAATGGCCGAACACGTACGGGTGTTCGGCTGAACATCGTAAAAGATATTTATAATGTTGTCCTCTTCTCCCTCTCTGCCTGCGGTTTACCGGGCGCTCTGTTTTACTATATATAATTGTTATTATCATATTATATAATTTATATCATATTATTTTCAGATTTTTTATTTTTAACTCGAGTTTGGCTAAGAATTTCAACATGACTCCCAGGCAAAAAGTTGTTTGTATTATAGATTTAGATGTTTTGAATTAAAGGCAACCAACTGTCAGGTCAGGCGGCCAATAAGACACTAACGCCACCGCCACGTCCGCAGGGACGCGTGGACGAGCGCATACATAAATAAAATAAGCTGCTTGTTTTGTTGTGCCGGCTGCGTTGACTCTTTTGGAACGGGTGCGTAATGCGTGGGAATCTACCACGCAGGTTATATAACTGTTTTTTTCAACTTTTTCTGTTTTTTTAACTATTTTATGTTTTAAGCTTTAACATATGTATTAGCCTGGGTTTTTCAGACCGGATGGGTGTTGTTTGCGATGTTGAAAGATGGCCACTTTCTCTATTGATTGTTGTTTTTCGTTGTTTTTTTTGGCTGAGGGGCAGGAGGAGGGGGTGGGTCAAGGTTGCCGATACAGGACGTTGATCCTTGTAACATCTTTCAGTACGAACCGCCCAGCAAGCCTGGGAGATGCGGACGAGATGGGAGAGAAAGGTTGGGGGTGTGGAGGGAGATTAGACAAATAGAGAGGTGGGAGGAGGTAGCTGTTAGATTCCGCATAGAGTCAGTGGACATCACTGCCAAAGCTTCATGGACATGACATCAGTAGTGGACATGTTTGCCAGAACCCAGGCAAGGGCAAGGACAGGGTGTGGGCATTGCAATGGACATGTCCAGGTCTATATTTGCAGCTTGCCAACAGCTTTGTTTGAGTAGCGCACAGGCCACCCATCATCCTCTTGCAACAAAGGTTTTCCTGCTTATGCAGAAAGGCGGAAAAGTGCTTACGCAGAAAGCCGGAAAAGGACAAGAACAGACTGTTCCATTGGAGTTTCACTCATACAGAGATGAGAGAGAGAGCTGGCGGTGGTGCTGGCAGGATAGGCCTTCTTTTCTACCATTTCTATCCCTACTCTCCCACCCCAGTGTGACCGCACTGACGACCGTCACCCTCCCAGTATCGAGGGCAACTTGGCCCAGACAGCAGTGACAAACACCCCCTAACATTAACACCCCCACCCCCCTTTTCAAAGTTTTTGGTTGTGAAGTACCGTCCCTACCCTGCCGCTAACAACCCCAGCCCCATTTTCAAAGTTTTCGGGTAAAAGGTTAACGTTTGCAGAAAGCCAGGTACGTTGTTCTCGGTGTCTCCTGAAGCCCATGTTTGGTGAAACCCCACCACTAACACCCTCGCCGTAAAACCCCCAATCCCTGAAATACAACCTCACCCAGCCCCCCAAACTAGACATCTCTGTTCTCAATGTCTGCTGAAGCCCGTAACACCCTCACTGTAACCCTTCAACCCCTGAAATACACCCCACCCAACCCCCCAAACGAGACATCTCTGTTCAAAGTTTTCTTTGCGGATTTGGGAGATCTTGGCGGGCGCAGTGCCGGCACAGCCCTGAACCTCGAGCTTGGCCTCTTTGTAGTCGCCTGGCCCAAGCCTGATGTCATGGTTCTTATTGCATACACCATTGGACCTTGTGTGTGTGGGGTGCCGAGCGCGTCCTCGTGTGTGTTGTGTGCGGTGTCTGTGTTCAGGAGTGATGAACAATGCCCCTAGTCGACCTTGTCTATGTGGGTATGTGTTTGTGTGTGTGTGTGGTGTGTGCGTGTGTGTGTGTTTGCGTGTCTGTGTGTGTGTGTGTTTTGTGTGTTTGTGTGTGTGTGTGTGTGTGTGT